TCCCACGCTTTTTATAATATTCATAAATGACCTGGCCCTCTGTAACTGTCAGAGTCTTGTCCTGTGTGCAGGTGATACCACTACACTAGAGAGTGGTAACACTGCCGATGATTCGAGCACTGTAGATAATGATGTACAAGTAAAAGTTTGATTGTGGAAGCCTTGAATATAATTCAGTGAAAGAAACCAGAACATCAGCTCACACGGGAATTGTTCTAAGACACTAGACATGAAGCAGGGGGTCCCCCAAGGTTCCGTTACAGGTCCCACGCTTTTTATAATATTCATAAATGACCTGGCCCTCTGTAACTCTCAGAGTATTGTCCTGCATGAAGATAATACCACACTAGAGAGTGGTAATACTGCTGATGATTCGAGCACTGTAGATAATGATGTACAAGTAAAAGTTTGATTGTGGAAGCCTTGAATAAATTCAGTGAAAGAAACCAGAACATCAGCTCACATGGGAATCGTTCTAAGATTCTAGAGATGAAGCAAGGGTCCCCCAAGGTTCCGTTACAGGTCCCACGCTTTTTATAATATTAATAAATGACCTGGCCCTCTGTAACTCTCAGAGTATTGTCCTGTATGAAGATGATACCACTACTCTAGAGAGTGGTAATACTGCTGATGATTCGAGCACTGTAGATAATGATGTACCAGTAAAAGTTTGATTGTGTAAGCCTTGAATATAGTTCAGTGAAAGAAACCAGAACATCAGCTCACACGGGAATCGTTCTAAGATTCTAGCGATGAAGCAGGGGTCCCCCAAGGTTCCATTACAGGTCCCACGCTTTTTATAATATTAATAAATGACCTGGCCCTCTGTAACTCTCAGAGTATTGTCCTGTATGAAGATGATACCACTACTCTAGAGAGTGGTAACACTGCCGATGATTCGAGCACTGTAGATAATGATGTACAAGTAAAGGTTTGATTGTGGAAGCCTTGAATATAATTCAGTGAAAGAAACCAGAACATCAGCTCACACGGGAATCGTTCTAAGATTCTAGCGATGAAGCAGGGGTCCCCCAAGGTTCCGTTACAGGTCCCACGCTTTTTATAATATTCATAAATGACCTGGCCCTCTGTAACTGTCAGAGTCTTGTCCTGTGTGCAGATGATACCACTACACTAGAGAGTGGTAACACTGCCGATGATTCGAGCACTGTAGATAATGATGTACAAGTAAAAGTTTGATTGTGGAAGCCTTGAATATGTTCAGTGAAAGAAATCAGAACATCAGCTCACACGGGAATCCTAAGATTCTAGCGAAGAAGCAGGGGGTCCCCCAAGGTTCCGTTACAGGTCTCACGCTTTTTATAATATTCATAAATGACCTGGCCCTCTGTAACTGTCAGAGTCTTGTCCTGTGTGCAGATGATACCACTACACTAGAGAGTGGTAACACTGCTGATGATTCGCGCACTGTAGATAATGATGTATACTTTATCTGGTCACTTGAAACACTGTGAAATACCGGGTGCATTTTATATATCTATATTTAACACGCTCTGTTGCTGCAAAAATCGCCAAATTTCGCAGCAAATATCCCCCGTATAAGATCAAAGGCAGTTTCACCGGTCCACGTGGAGTAAAGCACGCCTATGGACATAGCCAATGAGAAAGCGTGTATTTAGAGCTCCGAACAAGTGCAGGTGGCTACTGAAAATTGAAACAGTTTAGCCAGTGCCGTGTAGCGGTGAATAAACGTGTTTTCTTTAGTCTGTCCGTGTTTTTTCATAGATTTTATTAGTTTGTGTGTTTTTGACTTTTGAATACCAGTTTACTTGTTGATTTAATTGTTGTGTTGATTGTTCTTGTGTCCTAAATATGGCTCTTTGGAGACCTTGGGAAAATGCTCCAAGCCACGAGGAGATGGTTGATGAACCTGTGCAGGCAGAATTCTTTCATAAAGATTTAGAGGAACAGACCCAAAGAAATCCTAAATATGTATGATTGTCTGAAAAACGAAAATCCAGATCCTCGCAAAATCAAATTTTAAACAGAATTTGTATCCTGACAAAAATCAGTCGGTCTACCATTTATCGGGTTATAAAAAGGGGAGATGTAGTCAACCATTCCTTCCACAGAAAGCGCATAGGGCAAAAATTAAAAAGAATAGACGTGGGTTTTCAGGAAGATATTCGTCGTATAATATACGGATTTTATAAAGAAAATTTGGTGCCCACGTTGGAAATGATACGGGATAAATTAAAAGATTATCCTGAAGATTTTTATAATTACAAATGCTTAGACTCACTGCACTGTATTGTAAAACTGTGTGGTTTTCAATACAAAAAATTAGATAAAAGAATGGTGATTATGGAGTCGTCTCGAATCGTTGAATTGCGCCAAGAATTTTTGCACAAAGTTAAAATCTATAGAGAGCAGAAAAGAAATCTGATTTATGGATGAAACGTGGTATGATACCCATGATGTTGCAGTACGGCTGGGTTGACGACAGCAACAAGTGCATTTTAAATGCACCATGCAACCGTGGAAAACGAATCATTATTCTCCATGCTGGCAGTGAAAATGGATTTATACCTAATGCCTTGCTGTTATCTGCCAAAAATATCAAAGAATCATGTGCCACTATCATGAGGACATGACCTCCGACTTATTTGAAAAGTGGATAGAGCAGCAGTTAATACCAAACATTTCCCCAAATTCAGTGATTATTATGGACAATGCGCCATACCATTCCCGACAGAAAAACAAAATTCCGAATACAGGCACAAAAAACAAGACATTATTGATTTTATGAAGGATAAGGGAATGGAAATACCACAAAAATCAACCAAAGCCATATTATTGGATCTTATTAAAAGACAAAAATTTGAAAAAGAGTATGTTGTTGACAATCTGCTTCAGCAAAATGGCCATGAAGTATTACGTCTACCTCCCTATTACTGCATTTTTAACCCGATTGAGTTGGTCTGGGCTGCTTTAAAAAAAATAAGAAAACATATATCAGACCCCAATTAAGTGAATCGCTATTGGCCACAATAAGAGATGCAGTATCTCATATTGCTGCCACAGACCATGGAAGCAGTGTTTAGGCATATTATTGAAAAAGAAAATGAATATTGTGTTTTGCCTCCTGTAAATCCCGTTGTAATTCCTCTACAAGATGACTCTAGCGACAGCTCCGAAGGCGAGGATGATATATAAATACCTATAATGTAAGTCTTTATATACCTTTTATATACCTACCTGCTATGTAAATATTCCTATGTCAAACGTTGGAATTCTGTAATTTTTCCATTTCTTAACTTTCAGTCAACATAAATTAAACTCCCAATATAAGTATTTTTTCCCAAATCAAAAAAAGAAGATAGTAAAATCCATTTATTGTGATATAAAAAACATTATTATTATCGTTCTAAATAAATGACCGCACGCCTATGATACGTCATGAAATTACAAAGGACGCGCCGACCAAAGGTTTTTATGCTATTTCAAGTGACTTCAGATAAAGTATACAAGTAAAAGTTTGCTGCTAATAGTCTAGCTAAAATTCAGACAATGGATTTAACAGTATCGACAACGACAATGAGACGCTGCTTCAAGATGTGCACTTCATCATATGGCTTCCCAGTTTACCTTTATATACTGTTTTAAACGGACAAGTTGGACATTCGTGTATTTTGCTCGTAAGTGAAGCATAACAGTCTGGATGCTTTTTCAATATATGCTCATCCAGCAATTGTTTGTTTTTAAAAGTTTTATCGCAATGCGTGCACGTGATGAACAAGTTAGATGCTGCTTTAGGGTGCGCGTTCATCATATGTCTTTCCAGCGAAACTTTAGCTATCGTTTTGAACGGACAAATTGAACATTCGTGTATTTTGTTTGTAACTGACGCACAACGATCTGGATGCTTTTTTAATGTATGCTCATCTAGCCCCGATTTACTTTTGAAAACTTTATCGCAATACATGCAATGGATAAGCAAGCTAGAAGCTGCTTCAGGGTGATGAATCATCGTATGACTTTCCAGTTTATTATTAGCTATTGTTTTAAATGGACAGTTTGGGCATTCGTATATTTTCCTCGTGACCGACTCCGAACAATCTGGATGCTTTTTTACAACATGATCATCCAGGTATAATTTACTTTTGAAAACCGCACCGCAATGCTTGCACGCGACGAACAAGTTAGACGCTACTTCAGGGTGCGCCCCCATCATATGCCTTCCTAGCGAATGTTTAGACACAGTTTTAAATTCGCATTTGGTACATCCGTGTATTTTCCTTTTAACTGACGATATGGAGGCAGGATGTATTCTAACTATATGATCGTCCAACGATTCCGGCTTTTTAAAAGTAGATTTGCAATGTGTGCAAACGTACAGTGACGTCTTTGAATCAGGATGACTTTCTGTATCGTCAGTTGGACATTCCTGTGGTTCGGTTGTAGCTGACGCTTGGTGATCTGGATGCGTTTTTATATGCTCATATAAATATCGTTTATTTTTAACAACTTTTTTGCAATACATGCACGGAACCAGCAAGTTAGATGATACATCAAGGTGTGTTCTCATCATATGTTTTTCCATCTTCCCTTTCCATACTGTTTTAAATGGGCATGTGGTACATTCATAAAATTTCCTTTTAACTGACGATACGAAAGTTGGATGTGTTTTGACTATATGATTGTCTAGCGATTCCGGTTTTTTAAAAGTAGATTGACAATGCGCGCACACGTGCAACGAGATGCTCATATCAGAATGGACTGCTCTAATATGCCTAGGTATTTTGTACCTTGAGACACTCTTGAAAGTGCAATTTGGGCATTCATATATCTTACGCGAAAAACAGACGTTATAAAATTTGGATGTTTTTTTATGATATGATCATCCAGAGATTCTGCTTTCACGAAGGATGCATTGCAATGTTTACAAGTAACAAGCAAATCATCGCTTTCGTTAGATTCACGTTTTTCTTCACTGAAGTGACCCAATAATTCCGCTCTACAGTTAGTCTCATAGTTACATTTGTAACAAACGAATAATTCCTTCACTGTCTCTGCACCTACTACTCTCTTGTCCTTTTCCCTTGCATTTCCTCATTCTCTCACTGAAAAAAAATTACAATAATTACACGTCAGCTCCTTGAAAGGTAACATCACTATCTCCAAAAAGGCAACAAAACATGCTGCATTTCTTGATTTGAATTCGGCGTCATTTTTCAAGGAAGAGGAATTATTAAATATTGATTTCTTAATCATCTCTCAAGCTTTGGAGAAATTCGGGCTAAATTCTGCTAAAAAGTAACTGAAAAATTTAGTCGAAGAAGGTTCAACATAACTACCATACTTCTACATTCTGTGAATAAAACAAGCTTGATATTTCTCAAAATTATCGAGACACCCTTTACGTCAAATTGAGAAAAACAAGGAAATACTTGGGATTCAGACACAATTGATAAATACAGGGATTGTCCGGAAAGTAATAGGACGATTTGAACATGCGCAAGGTGTGCGCGAAGACGGTCCCAAAAGTGCTCACTGACGACCAGAAATTGCGGCCAAGAAAATTTGAACAAGTGTGAAAGAGACCTCCAATTTTTTAATAACTTAATCGCAGGTGACGAGTCGTGGATCTTTGAGAATGATCCCGAGACAAAGAGGCAATCTTCTTGATAGGCAAGCATTTTGAGACGATAGAGGGGATCCAAGCAGCATGCGCCGCGGCTCTCAAGGCTATTCCGGAGAATGCCTTCCGTGACGCCTTCAATGCTTGGAAATCGCGCTCGCAGCGCTGCATCGACGCAGAAGGAGCCTATTTTGAAAGTCTTTAAAGAATTGTAACGATTGGCTCAATAAATTTTTTTAAATCGACTCGGTCCTATTACTTTCCTCACAAACCCCGTACGTAGAATATGGAAGCAATGATTACATTCATCGACTGAAGCAAAGGGCTAACGAATATACAATCGTAATTTTTGGGCGAATATGACCTTGGGAGATCGACACACGAGGCGATGCACTGCCGAGTGGCTTATGCTGTCTACTGGTCGGCAAGATACACGTTTTAAATAGTTCGTTCTCACAGACAGTATAAATGAAAATGTCTGATAATGAGCAGGAATCTCTTAAATGTTGTAACACTATGTCCCAGCGATTTTATTTCCGACGCTACTGGACCGATTTTCAAAAATTACAATGTTTTGCGTCTTTGGCATAGTAGGAACATTGTGTAAAAATTTCATTAAAATCCGAGCGGTACTTCTCAAGTTATTAGCGATTATAACATTAGCAGACACACAAACCGACAGACACACGGAATTGAGTGACATAGTTTTTCGTGATGTACATGTCATATAACATCCAAAAAACATCTCATTTTATTTATTTTTGCATTTTTTGCATTTCAATAACTGCGACTATACTACAACTATTTAAAACTGTAATGACTCATACGCGTGATCAACACGTGATCAGAGCTCGATCCCGGCTTCCTTCCAGTACAGCCGTATAGCGTACGACATATGTCGTTTCTGTGGCTTTGCGGTGGTCAACAGCACAGACAGAGATGGAAATAATGGCTGATTGTTCTCCGCCGGTAGAACCAATGAAATCAAAGACGCGCCTCGACCGGCAGACTCATAGGCGTCGGCAACGCATTGGAACGTGTTTCGTTGAGCGATCGCATATTGTGTGTTTTTATAAGAATTGTTGTGTGATTGTTATTGTTGTGGTTTCTGTGGTTACTGTTTTGGTTATACTTAACCATGGAGAGTACAAATGGCACGAGTGGAAGTACTGAAAGCCAGGGAACAAGTAGACGGCTTCGTAAACACTGAAGAGGGACGCGAAAGAAATCGTGCTCAACGTGTTCAATTATCTGAACAGAACTATGTCGCAGGGAGATGCACTCGCGCGTTGTGAAAGTATGACAGGCGTTCCAGAGTGGACCATTCGCAGGGTGGTGCATGAAAAGAAGAAGACTGGAGCTACTACTGATCCAAAGTTTAATTTGAAGGGACGAAAGGCCGTTAAATTGGATGACGATAGCAAAATGGCGTTAAGGCGAACCGTACATTCATTCTTCTTTAGGAATCAGATACCAACCCTCAAGGCTGTACATGCAGCGATCAAGGAAAATGAAATTATACCCCAAATGAGCGTCGAGGTAATGAGGAAATCCCTGCACGAAATTAATTTTCGTTACGAAACGCGTAATCGGAAGTCAGTATTGATAGAGAGACCTGAAATAGTCGCCTGGCGTCGAAAATACCTACGCGAAATGATTGAATATAGGCGACAAAGCAGAAAAATCTATTATTTGGACGAGACATGGGTAAATGCAGGTCACACAGTTAAAAAAACCTGGATAGACAAAAACGTAGTGAGTAACCGACAAGCAAGCATTGAAGGTTTGTCAACAGGTCTTCGTGGACCGTCAGGGAAAGGTCAAAGATTGATCGTAACTCATATTGGTAGCGATGTGGCTTTTTAGAAGAGTGTGACTTGATTTTCGTCTCTAAGAAAGGAGGTGATTACCATGACGAAATGAATGCCAGCTGCTTCGAGAGCTGGTTTCAAGGGGTGCTTCAGCGAGTTGAGCCCAACTCTGTGATCGTCATGGATAATGCTTCCTACCATAGTCGTCGAGCCGAACGTGTACCGACTATGGGATCTCGAAAAAGTGACATGCAGCAATGGTTGCGCGAAAAAGGAATCCCGTTTGACGATTCATGTGTGAAAGCGGAATTGTATGAAAAATTAAACAGCACAAACCTGCGAACAGTTACGTGACTGATGAGATGGCCCGTCAATGTGGTGTCACTGTGCTGCGGTTACCGCCCTACCACTGTGAACTGAACCCAATAGAGCTCATCTGGGCTCAAGTGAAGGGTTATATTGCGCGCCATAACACAACCTTCAAATTACCAGACGTTAAGGTTTTACTTGAGACTTCCATACAGCTAGTAACGCCCGAAGCTTGGCAGAATGCTATCCGTCATGTTGTGAAGG